TAAAAACGGCAAAAGTCATTTTGAGGACGAAAAGCTAACCACCCCAGATGGGACTCGAACCCACAATCCCTGGCTTAGGAGGCCAATGCCTTATCCATTAGGCCACTGGGGCTTCCGAGAACGAGTCGCTCCAGCAACGTATTCAATTCTTTTTTCCTCTTTGGTACGTCATCGTCATCTAGGTCGCCTTTTAACCTATCCTAAGACACCACACCTAGTACCAACATGAGGGGTGAGGCATGCTGGGAGTTGTAGTTCAGCGAACAAGTGCCCGCGTTCCAGCTCCAAAGGCTTTACCCTCAAAACAGCACCGCTGCGCCGGACGGAGAACGGACGCGCGCACGGTTTTGCGTCCGCGTTTGCCTGCCCTGTACCCCTGCGCCTGCGCAAAAGTGGGCAAGCGATGTCACGGAGCAGAGCGCGCTGGGTACACTGGTCGACCCTCGGAGACTCGCCCTCTGAGCTTCTCCCGCGTCGGATTTTTACCGGAAACAGCTGGCCCCTTCCGGTGTTGCGGCTTTCCGGATTTAGCTTGCCCCCAACCCGCTGTTAGGTGGCGTCCGCATCGGTCACTTTCTGTTTCCGGTTGAAGCGCTGAGGCCATTTCCGCAAAGCCGTTGGCGAGTAGGGGACGAGTGTGTTACGTTTTGAGTTGTCGGGTGGAAGATAAACGTGGGACAGCGGGGATTTATTAATTCACCGGAAATTAGTTAATCAGAAATAATTAGAACCTCTTTTTCTGGCTCTGGTCCTAATTGTGCAGCTTGGACAAGTCACCTCTCATTGTCAACAACCTTAACTCTCGCAGTGGCTCCCTCTTGCCCCTGAAACTTTTGGACCCTTGCCTGTGTCGTAACCGTCATCTCTCCTCGTTTCCTCACACCCTTTGCGCCTGGTGCCCCAGCTTCTCTCGTCTTCTTCATTCCTGTTACTCCCTCCGCCTGAGGTTTAACCATTTTGTGTTAACATCCCTATTTATCTTCTGGGCTTCCAGTTTTCCTCGACAAGTCTAGGTCAGGAACTGCTCTAGGCCTTTGTGGGTAATACGGTAAAGTTAAAACGATTCATTTCACCTCTGAGCTCCTGGAGGTTCTCTAGATTACGTGTTAATCGTACCTTTTACAAATAGGATACCTGTGTCTCCGCTCCGTCGTCTTCTGCGTGAGCCAGGAAGCAACTGCTCAGATTCCTGAAGTCCCACTTTTTTTTCCCTTCCTTTTCCAAGATTTTATTCATTCATTTGAGAGAGAGCGTGGAGGGAACGGGCAGAGGAAGAGGGAGAAGCAGGCTCCCCGCTGAGCAGGAAGCCTTATTGGGGGTGGGGGGGTTGATCCCAGGCCCCTGAGATAATGACGGGAGCCAAAAGCAGACGCTCAACCCACTAAGCCTCCCAGGCGACCATGAATTCCTACTTTTAACAGCTCCCTCCTCTTGGGTCCCTGTCAGGGTTCACCAGATTTAGCTGTGGCCAATTTCGAGGCAACAGTTCGTAATCCGGCTAGAATCCTGACACAGTATGAACATTAGAGGAGACCAGACTAGAATGACTTAATATGAATGAACTAGGGTTTGGGGAGAATGTTATCAGTTATTCTTTTCTTAATATTGTTAACTAGAAAACCACAGGCTGAAAATGGCCTCACTTAGATTAAGACCCCAAGTCAGTAAACCAAGAATTAACACCTAACCTGACTGCAGTTAGAAACCCTCAGAAATTGAACCTATGGGGCATCTGGGTGGCTCAATGGGTTAAGCCTCTGCCTTTGGCTCAGGTCATGATCTCAGGGTCTTTGGATGGAGCCCCACATCAGGCTCCCTGCTCAGCGGGAAGCCTGCCTCCCCTCTCTCTCTCTGCCTAACTCTCTGCCTACTTGTGATCTCTCTCTCTATCTCTCTCTCTCTGCTAAATAAATTAAAAAAAAAAAAGAAAGAAAAGGAATTGAACCTATAACCAGTCAGTATGGAAATTTACTGGTCAGCATTAGGAAATCGATAGACTCCTTCCGTTACCCTCAGGAAGGCAGCATTGCTTAAAACAATGGATTCTTAGCTAATAGTTCCCTTTTTTTAACTATTTCTGTCTTTAAAAAGCCTTTCGTTTTCTGTAGCCCTTTGGAGCGCCCCTATATTTGCTGGATGGGATGCTACCTGTTTTATGACTTGATTAATAAAGCCAATTAGATCTTTCAAATTTAGTCAGCTGAATATTTAACTATAAATTTGTTTAACCAGCTTTCTAAGATATAGCAAATTTAAGCCAGCTCTGAGGAAGTGGGAGAATTTATTGGAAATAGGCCTTCTATAACTTTATATGTTGTGGTACAGAGTAATTACTAATTCTGAATTCCTTTTTACTAAATGGTCAAGAGACTCTTTTCTTCTGCTCTAAGCCCTTCTTACACAGAGAGTAAATAATCATGAAATGTTAGCTATATGTAGTCACTAGCCTCCAGAGATGGGCTTCCAAGAGTCTTCTCTTTTTATAAATAACTTGCTCCTGACATCAAGAGGTGAAGCTTGGGATGCCTGGGTGGCTCAGTGGGTTAAGTGTTTGCCTTCTGCTCAGGTCATGATCTCCTGGGACTGAGTCCTCCTGCATTGGGCTCCCTGCTCCGCATTAGGCTCCCTGCAAGGCTTCTCCTTCTGGCTGCTGCTCCCCTCTACTTGTGTGCTCACACACTCTCTGACAAATAAACAGATAAAATCTAAAAAAAAAAAAAAAAATTTTTTTTTCACCAGTTTAAAAAAAAGAGGTAAAGCTTATTTCCCATCCCACCGCCCCTCCCCCTCTTGAATCTGAGCTGGCCTTCTGATTAGCTTTGACCAACAGAATACATCAGAAGTGATATTCCAGGCCATCTATCCAAGACCAGGCCTTAAAACTAGCAACTTTCACTTCTGCGTCTTAGCTAGCTACCAGCCTGTGAAATCCCCAAGGCCTGTGGAGGAGTACTGAGATAGCACCAAGTGAGTTCTCCGCTGAAGAGTTTTTTTGTTTTTGTTTTAGATTTTATTTATTTGAGAGAGAGAGAGAGAGAGAGCGCATGAGAAGGGGGAGGGTCAGAGAGAGAAGCATACTTCCTGCCGAGCAAGGAGCCTGATGTGGGACTGAATCCCAGGACTCCAGGATCATGACCTGAGCCAAAAGCAGTTGCTTAACTAACTGAGCCACCCAGGCAACCCAAGAAAGGCATGTGTAAACCATCTTGAATGTCCTAATCCAGCGGCACTTGCAGAAGACCACAGTCTCTGCCAGATAGAGCAGAGAATTGCCCAGCTAAGCCCAGTTAACTCCAAGAATCATTAAAGGTGATAAGATGGCTGTTGTTTGGGAATGATTCCAGTAAGTTTTGAAATTACTCTGCAACAACAAAACAGCAAATCAGTCTGAAAAAGTTTGTGGGAACAATTTAGCCAAATTTCTCAGTTTTGCAGCTTTGGAAAGTCTTTAGGTTCCTAGTTGCAAGGCTACAAACTCAAAACCCTACAGCAGAGACCAGGCGGGTAATACAAAAGTAAAACTGGCCAGGTGGGTTCCTACATCCTGCAAAGGAGCTAGCTGCTTTTCAGCTCAATCTCAGTTGCAAAGTAGGAAAGTGTTACCAGTGTTGCCAGAGCCACTGACTTTTCAATAATTGTAAATCCAGCATTTTTATGAAATGCCCTAACTTTTAAATGTTACTGATCATGTTAAAAAACAGTTTATCAAATAAAACCCTTCTGTTGGCCTTATATAACCTAGGATTGCAAGTGTGTGAAGGATGACGTCCCAGAGCACTTTACAGGTAATGTCTCACTTGACCTTCACCACAATCCTATGAGGTAGTATCTCTTTTTACCCACTTACAAATGTGGGAACAATCTCAGAATAGTTTCATGGTTTAGTCAGCATGATCAACCGTCTGTGGAAAGCTGGAGTTTGGCTCCAGACAATCTAACACCAAAGCTCAGTTCATGATCTCAGGGTCCTGGGATCGAGCCCCGCATTGCGCTCTCTGCTTCCCTTCCTCTCTCTCTGCCTGTGTCTCTGCCTACTTGTGATCTCTGTCTGTCAAATAAATAAATAAAATAAAATCTTTAAAAAAAAAAAGATACAGGGTAATTTTCAGAATTTCCTGAAAAGGCCAGAGACCAGACTTAGAAGCCACACAAAGATCTCACCCAGAATCCTGCTTCCGATCCGATCCAGTGAAAACAACTGCTAATAGCTTGCAAGTCGGACACAATGACAGTGGACAGGAGCTGGGCGCCAGGACACCAGAGCTGCTGCTCTGGGACACTGAGCTGAAGGCAGAGGCTTAACCCACTGAGCCACCCAGGCGCCCCTACCCTGTATCTTTTTAATAAAAATCCATTTTCTGCTATAACTTCTCCCCCATAAGTGTTTGCGTTTATTTTTAAACTATATACATGCACTACTGAGACGTATGGTACATACGTTAAAAATACACACAAAATAGAATTAAAAGGCTGTTTTTAAAAATG